TATATCCTACCTGCCGCGCGCAGCTGGCGCAGCCATCAAAACAGGGGAAAGAAGGGAGGAGGGAAGAGCCAAGGGGGAAGGAGAAGGATTGAGCACGAGAGAAACTTGCAGGAGGAAGGTTACGAGCAGGGGTACAAGTGGCAGAACCAGACGGGCGGGTCGGGCGGGCGGACCCTAGCGGGCAAGTCGGGCGGGCGGGCCCGGGCTGCCGGGTCGAGCTAGCACAACTCCCAACTGAATCGTGAGGAAATCCAGAGCGAGAGCGTGATTCCTGCATAAATGATGAGGTGGTCCCGCGAGAGAACGCGAACTCTAAACACGCTGCGAGGGAATATCAGGCAGGAACCGCGTTGCAAACCGGGGCCCAGCAACGCAGACTGTGGACCAAGACTTCCCATGTTTAAAATTAGCCTGACGAAGGACCTAACCATATGCAGGTGTGAGTACCGCAATTGTGATTCACTTTTTCGGTGGTGGACCCTATGAGGCAACGAACCGTGCTGGGGATGTGCCGACATGAGTGGCGTGGCACACAACGCAAACGAAAACGATTTATCTGAGTACGTACGGAGACTGAGCGCGGGTGAATCCGAGCGCGAGCGCGCATGACTGTGAATGAATACGCGTGCGAGCGAGTCTCGTGCATGAATGCGAGTATGACAAAGCATGGTGTACTTGTATATAAATGTCAACAGTTTGAGAACTACTGCCTCTGAGTACTCGCGACGCCGGGCATGGCCGCCGCAAGGAGCTTCCCCGGGACTCCCCGACGGCATCGCCCGCGCGCCGCGACGCCAATGTCGGCGCGCCCCCCAGCGAGGATCGCGCCCGCTTCCCCCCCTTCGTTTACTCCCTCGTTGCCCGCGCACTCAAAAGTCCAAGGCTGCGGGCGCCGCGCAGCGCGGAGTCCCCGCGACGCGCGCAGGTCGCCCCGGAGGGGTCTTAGCGACGCGCGCGGGTCGTCCGCCGCGCGGAGCAAAGAGAGCTCGCTGGCTGGATGATAGCGGGCAAAGCTCTCGCCGCTGGGCAGAGCGACGACGGGCGAGCGAGGCGCTGGGCAGAACGCAACACGGAGCCCCCGCGACGCGCGCTGGTCGCCCCGGAAGGGTCCCAGCGACGCGCGCGGGTCGCCCGCTGCGCGGAGCAAATAGAGCTAGCTGGCTGGCTGATAGCGGGCAAGGCTCTCGCCGCTGGGCAGGGCGAGGCGCTGGGCAGAACGCAGCACGAGTTCCTGCGACGCGCGCTGGTCGCCCCGAGAGGGCCCCAGCGACGCACGCGGGTCGGCCGCGGCGGGAGGCCAAACAATTAGTCAGACCGGCGAGAGACGGCGAGGCTCGGGCGGGCCGCTCCTCAGATCAAGCCTCGCGGATAAACTCGGTAAAGCCCAGCTCCCTGGCGAGGGCCATCGCCTCCCTCCTGCACCGCTTCGTGCGCGCAGCAAACTGCTCCAGCTGCTTCCGCAAGCCCTCCGGCGGCCCTGCCAGGAAGAACTCGATGCGCGGCGCCCGCATGAGCAGGAGGTCCTGGTGGCGCGTGGCGCGCGAGAGCAGCACGTAAAGCTCCAGCGACCAGTCGTCGTCCTCCTTCTTGCCGTTCCCCACTTCGTGGCGGCCGCAGTCCAGGATCACGCCTGTGCGACGTCGGCCGAGGGAGCAGCGCGCTGGAAAGGCGACGGCCCAGGGCGAGAGTCCACGTGACCGAGAGAAGGTCTGGCTGCGGACTGCTCGCGCCCAGCAGGTCGGGCCGAAAACTGGGTGAAGGAGACGCATGCGGAATGCGCCACGGGGACCTTCGTTGGAGCTCCATATGGGGCCACGAAAAGCTGTACTGGGGGTGAGGGAGACGCATGCGGACTGCGCCACTGGGACCTTCGGTGGACTTCCCTGTGGGGCCACGAAACGTGCGAGGGGTGTGCCGAAATGAGCGGCGGGGACGCATGCGGACTGTGCCAACGGGACCTTCGGCGGAGCTCCTATAGGGCCACGACACGTGTGAGTGGTGTGCCGAAATTAATGGCGGGGACGCATGCGGACTGTGCCACGAGGACCTTCGGCGGAGCTCCTATGGGGCCACGACACGTGTGAGGGGTGTGCCGAAATGAATGGCGGGGACGCATGCGGACTGTGCCACTGGGACCTTCGGGAGAGCACCTATGGGGCCACGAAACGTGTGAGGGGTGTGCCGAAATGAATGGCGGAGACGCATGCGGACTGTGCCACTAGAACCTTCGGCGGAGCTCCTATGGGGCCACGACACGTGTGAGGGGTGGGCCGAAATGAGTGGCGGGGACGCATGCGGACTGTGCCACTGGGACCTTCGGCGGAGCCCCCACGGGGCCACGAAGCGTGTGAGGGGTGGGCCGAAATTAACGGCGGGGACGCATGCGGACTGTGCCACTGGGACCGTCGGCTGAGCTCCTATGGGGCCACGAAACGTGTGAGGGGTGAACCGAAATGAGTGGCGGGGACGCATGCGGACTGTGCCACTGGGACCTTCGGCG